TACCAGATTATGGATTTGATTCTCTGCAGCCAAAGGCTGTTCTGGGAGAGTTCTTCTCCAGCCAGGTAACCTGGACATTGGGGGCAAAGTTGGAGCTAATAAAGAGACTCCTACTGATGGTCTGACTGTGTTGCCTTTGTGCCACGCCCCTTTGGGTCATCACAAAGAGGATTCTTTGTGTCTCTGCTTTGCTATGTGCTTCATTCCCCCTCCCCCCCCCGGGGTTTATTATTACATGGATGTATGAGCCTGGTGGTGCAGTACAGGTAATCCTTGACTTACCACCACAATTGAGCCCAAAATTCCTGTTGCTAAGCGAGACAGTTGTTAAGGGAATTTTGCCCTATTTTGCAACCTTTCTTGCCACCGTGATTAAGTGCATCACTGTAGCTGTTCAGTTAGGAATACAGCTGTTCAAAATAGATCTGGCTTCCCCGTTGACTTTGCTTGTCGGAAGGTAACACAGTTGTTAAGGAACATAGTTGTTAAGTGAATCTGGCCTTCTCCATTGACTTGGATTGTCAGGAAGGTCAAAAAAGAGGATCACATGACCCCAGGATACTGCAACCATCATAAATGTGAATCAGTTGCCAAGAGTTTGGATCATATGACCATGGGGATGCTACAACGGTCATAAATGTGAAAAACTCATAAATCACCTTCTACAGTGCCACTGTCACTAAATGAAATGTGGTAACCCGAGAACTCCTTGTATTGCAGGCAAACTCTGCCCACAGCCAGGAGTTCAATCCTGACAGGACTCAAGGTTAATTCAGCCTTCCGTCCTTCCCAGGTCGGTAAAATGAGGACCCAGATTGCTGGGGGAAAATAGGCTGACTCTGTAAACCACTTAGACAGGGCTGTAAAGCACTGTGAAGCGGTATATAAGTCTAAGTGCTCGTTCCTTCCTTCCTCCCTTTTCTTCCTTCCTTCCATCCTTCCCAGTTGTCAGAATGTAGCATTGCAGACTAACTCTGCCAACTTCCAGGAGTTCGATCCTGACCAGCTCCAGGTTGACTCAGTCTTCCGTCCTTCCGAGGTGGGTAAAATGAGGACCCAGATTGTTGGGGGCAACAGGCTGACTCTGTAAAGCACCTAGAGAGGGCTGGAAAGCACTGTGAAGCAGTATATAAGTCTAAGTGCTATTGCTGCTGCTCCTTCCTTCCTTCCTTCCTTCCTTCCTTCCTTCCTTCCTTCCTTCC